GGCCCTTCTCTTCCATCTGTGCTGCTCTGCGCTGTGGCCTCCCACCTGCCCCCAGCTGCCCTGCTTGGGCCTCCTCGCAGCGTGGTGGCTGGGGAAGAGCACTGGGCCTGCAGAGGCTCCACGCCCCCCGCAGCGAAGCCCGGCTGCCCCGTCCTGGAAACGCACCAGTTCCTTCCACTGGGCGCCACCACTTCATTCCATGGTAATTTCCAGGAGGTTATAAATTAGAGTCTAAATTAATTGCCAGTTCAGAGTTGCAAAATTTATTTTCTTTCTGCACAAATGTGTCAAGGAAGGTCAGTATATGTGTAGAGAGTGTTTTGAAACATTTTTAAGATTCAGGACCTACCATGTTCAGCCTGCGTTTTATAAATTTCCTCAAGCATCAGAACTTTCAGTGGCAGAATAGGCCATTGAAAGCTGCAACAGATTGAGAGTTTATCCTTGAATTCCTCACTGAGAACAAGGACTTGTTTACTCCTGTAGACACTTAAATGAAATGTTTGTCAGAATCATTCACTATAGGGTGGGAAGCATCACTGGTTTTGTTTCTTTGCTTCATGACAATAGCTGAGAGAAAATGAAATTTTATTATAACAATAGCCTCCTCGGGAAATGATTAGATTGTGTGAATACTTCAAATAGATTATACACTATTTTTAGAAAAGTTTTTTTGAGGGCTTTTAACAAACAGAAATAAAACAAGAATAATAATTATATGACTATAACCCAAAAATAGAGCCATCAGTTTACCATTTCCAAAGATTACATGGTCTGTCTTGTGAGAGATTAAGGATAAATTGAACAGGTTGAGACAAGTGTCCAACTGTTGCTAGAAAAAGCATGGACTGCCGTGGGAACATGGAGCCAAAAGACACAGATTTACCCTTTATTTCCTTCGTGTGTGTGTCTGTGTGTGTGTTTGTGTCTGTTTCTGTGTGTCTCTGTGTGTCTGTATCTGTGTGTCTGTGTCACTGTGTGTATGTGTGTCTGGGTATCTGTGTCTCTGTGTGTGTGTCTGTGTCTCCGTGTGGGTATCTGTGTGTATCTATGTGTATCTGTGTGTATGTGTGTGTGTCTGTGTGTGTGTGAAAATTGTACTGTATTTTTATGTAAGATGATGCTTTCCTCTTAACTAATGGTTAACCTACTAAAGAGGATAAAGTTACTTGGCTCTGTTTTGATGTAAGAAACAACATGGTTTCATACTGGCTAGAGTCTGGAATCAGTTGGCTTTGGGAATCGTGTGTGTGTGTGTTTTTTAAAAGAGGTGAGAGTCTTGCTCTGTTGCCCAGGCTGATCTCAAACTCTTGACTTCAAGTGAAGCTCCTCCCTCGGCCTCCTAAAGTGCTGTGATTACAGGTGTGAGCCACTGTGCCCAGCCAGCTTTGAGAATCTTGATGTTTGAGGAAGTCAAGTTTCATGAGAGCTAGCTACTGTTTATGTCTGCCCTAAGGTCCTTTTTTGATAGAGGACACATCTTCATTATCTAATCCTAAGTGGAGCATCACAAGCATGAATTTTAAATCGTAATGCCTTCTTCTAACGTGTTTTCACTTAGGAGATGAGACTTTCTCGAGGTTCTTGGGAAGAAAATAGCTGCTATAAAGATGTAGCCACCAGAGTAGCTGTTGGTCTTGATTTCCGCTCTCAAGTTCTGCCATTCTGAGTTGTTGTTTTTGTTGTTGTTGTTACTGTTTTGCAAATGGCTAAGTCCATTAGGACAATATTAAACATTTTTATGTAAATAATAATAAATATTGAAAAAGCATATATTTACTTCTGATAATGTGATTAACAAACATACAAATCAGGTCGTTTGTAAGAAAAGTTTTTAGGACCAAAACTAACCCAAAGTAACTAGATTAAATGTATGCCATAAAACTTTAAGTAACTAGATTACATGTATGCCATCAAACTTTTATTTTTTCTTCCTCCCCAGGTTCACCTCCATTTCTCAATGTGAGAGCTTTACATCATTAAGATGAGTTGAATATAGATTTCAATTAATGTTCTTCCTAAGTGATAAGGATGTAGACTTATAAGCAGGACAAGACTAATCATCTTCTTAGCATTTTACTGCGGGTCCCATCGGTAAGGTCTAGAGAGCCGTTCTGTTTCTCAGTTACGTGGCACTTTCTGACTCTCTCTTTCTTTCTGATTCAGACTCCAGGGTATTCAAAACTGAGGAAGTTGGTAATGATGCCTTTGCACACAGAGAATTTAGAGGCGTTTTATTTAAAGTGGGTTTTGCTACTCATACGTCTCTTGCTTATCCCATTTTAATAATGATCGACCCGGAAATCTTGCTAGAGCTCCAACTTTAGTAACTTCTGTTTAAGTGGGATTAAACCAGATTTAGAAAAAAATCCTTTGAAAAGTGTTTAGTTATGTGCTTTGCATTTAAACTAATATATTACTTAACGTATTAATCTGCTTTTCACATTAGTTTATCTTACGTAAATATAACTGTTCTTTTATTGCCTAAAAGTGGTGAACACTGTTCAACATGATTAAAGGAGGTCCCTTTATTTATTTATTTACTTTTTTTTTTATTTATTTATTTATTTTTGAGACGGAGTTTCGCTCTTGTTGCCCAGGCTGGAGTGCAATGGTGCAATCTTGGCTTGGTGCAATCTCCACCTCCCGGGTTCAAGTGATTCTCCTGCCTCAGCCTCCCGAGTAGCTGGAATTACAAGCATGAGCCACCACGCCCGGCTAATTTTGTATTTTTAGTAGAGACAGGGTTTCACCATGTTGGTCAGGCTGGTCTCAAACTCCTGACATCAGGTGATCCACCCGCCTCGGCCTCCCAAAGTGCTGGGATTACAGGAGTAAGCCACCGCGCCTGGCCGGTCACTTTAAAAAAGTAGAATTCTGAACCCCTTTATGTACTTGCTGTGTCAAGCATATAAAAAGAAATCGTTATCAAGATTCTGTTGAGCAGAGAATAAATCAGTGTTTTCACAAAGTATGGATTGGAGACAGCCCTGAAACTAAACATTCATATTCTATTAGACATCTTCAGCCGCAGAGATTTGTATAGAAGTCGTGAAATAATCACCACTTTTCCCGTGTGGGAAAAGTGAGGGTGTTGGCTTTGATTGATGCACAGTGTCGGTGTAAATGTCCTGTTTGATTGACACGCAGTGTTGATATGCAGATGTCCTGTTTGATATGCAGTGTCGATGTGCAGATGTCCTGTTTGACTGATGCGCAGTGTTGATGTGCAGATGTCCTGTTGGACTGATACGCAGTGTCGATGTGTCGATGTCCTGTTTGATCGATGCTCAGTGTCAATGTGCAGATATCCTGTTTGACTGATGCGCAGTGTCAATGTGTAGATGTCCTGTTTGATTGATATGCAGTGTTGATGTGTAGATGTCCTGTTTGATATGCAGTATCGATGTGCAGATGTCCTGTTTGATTGACACGCAGTGTTGATGTGCAGATGTCCTGTTTGATACACATTGTCGATGTGCAGATGTCCTGTTGGATTGATACGCAATGTCGATGTGCAGATGTCCTGTTTGATTGATACGCAATGTCGATGTGCAGATGTCCTG